ATATATATTAAAATTAATAAAAATAACTACCATTAAACAGCTGACCAGTGAAGAAGAAAAATTTTACTTTTCCACAAAGCCATCTCTACATTTTTGCAATTTATATGCAAAAGGTTTTCTGTTTTCAAAACTTTAGTTTTCAAGAGAGAAATTTATGCATATCCTATTAAGTTTAAGTATGTAAATTGAAATTGTTTCTATTTTTATTATTAATTTTGATATATATTAAACACCATCTCAAGCAAAATCAATTTATATCCAATAAGAATCCAATCCAATCCAAAGGTATATCCAATAATAAATTATGTAATGCAATACAAGAATATCTCATCTAGTGTGCTTTATAATGTGCATCTGATAATTCAATTAATGTAGGAAGATTCACTATAAAACAGTCAAGCCTTAAAGAATTACAACTAGAGCAGAAATTATAAGAGAATTATAACTACAATTTTAAAAATGAATTTTAACAATAAATGGCATAAATATTAGTTAAAAATTTATATTTATGCAAAGGTATTTATTGTGTGATTTTTTTTTATTGGGGTATATTTTTAAAAGGTCTGTTTTGGGTATAATTTTAAAATGACAAATAAAAAGAAATGCAATGTTTATGCAAAAGTGCATTAGAAACATAATTCGGCATTACAAGATTACTTAGAAATATTAATTCTGAAAAGAAGGGAAAGCAAGTCCAAACATTATTGGATAGCTAGTCTTTTAATAAAAACATTTAAAAATTTATATTGCAAAGTAAAGTAGTAAAGTGATAAAAATTTAGGTTTAATATCATCTTTTTATTTCATTCTTTTATTTTTATTGATCTTATGATGTATTATTAAATCAGTTCTAATTATCCTTTAAGAGAGACAATCCCTTTTAAAACAAATCATTTTTCCTCATTAAATACATTCCCCAATTAATGCAGTAGTTTTCTGAAATGCATTAACTACACTAATCAGGATATTCCTGTGCTTTCTTTTAGTATAAATATCTTTGTTCCTATATTTACTTAAACTATATATGTTTGGCCTGTTTAATCTTATAAGTGCTATTGTGAAGTATTGATATATTGAGTATATGAGTAAGTCTGTACTACATTCTTACTTCTCATTCTTGCTATTTTTATAATTTTACTTTATATTTTATACTTTCTTTTTAACTTTGTACAGTGGATACTCGATATAGTGAACTCTTAAAGACTAAGCCATCTCATTAACCAATCAAGAGTTTACTACATACATAAAAAATAGTAAGAACCAACAAAATTGTTCACTATAGTGTATCAGGTTATATCAAAAGTCCACTTATGCTTAGATAAAAAAGCGTAAAAAACATTTATACATGTGTTTAGGAAACTTATTCAACGAAATCTTTATCTTTTTCAGATGGACTGCTATGAAATATACTCAGGATTATTCTTAATAATAAAGAAAAATTTTCGGTATCTAACATTCTGTTTGTTGTTTAAATGGGAATTTATTTAACAGATGGTCTTTAAAAAGTCAAATTTCCAAGCATTACCCACTTCTTTCTATTAGCTAATTCTTACAAAATTCTCAGATTGTGACAATATTAACATTTAGAGTAATGTCAGATGAGCATGATTTCACATCCATGGTTTTTGATCAACATCATGGGATTGCATAAAACCTATGGGAGCAGTCAAATGGATGCAAATACAAAAAAATCACATTGTGTGCTGCTACATCATTCATGATAATCTCATGATGTTGTTTGACTGTTGAATGTTGGGTATACACTGAAAGCTTATGGTCATAAGACGAGCATAAAAATAATGGATGCGTTAACATTGTTTCCAGGAAGTGTTGGGTCAGTGTCATTCCTGCCAAAGAGTGTACGGTACTCATGTATTCTAAGAAATGTACATGGATATTAGTAAAATGATCATACAAATTAGTGAGGGGCCAGAATTGAGAAAAACTTTATTTGAACTTTATAAAAACAGAAATAAGAAAAAAGGCTAATTATGATCAAAAGGATGTACCCAATATTGTCTATGTCCGTTTTTTTTTCTTTTAAATACTTCTGTAAGTAAAAAAAAAAAAAGCACATCACAATCTATGAGATTCATGTTGACATATACATGCATCTGAAATGAAACTGATTACCAATGCACTCCAAGAAAAATAGAACTTGTCAGCTGCCTTTCTATCTGTGAATGGAAAAAATAGCATCTGTGTATTTTCATGTTCATCCCCATTAGCCTTAATGTCATTAATATTTGTGTCATATGCAAATATATCTCATAACTGAACATGCATGACATTATGGCATTTCAGTGAAATTATGTCCACTATCTTACCAAGTTACTTTATTTTAAACCAATTTAGATATTTCATGCTCCATCATTTTTTTATATAATGGTAAATCAATTATTTTCATTAAATTTACTGTTAAGTTATTACTAGGAAGCCTGATAGTTCAATTAATGTTAACTCTCTCAAAATTTAAATTAAAAATTTTTTTAAAAAACAGGCAAATTTATAAAACAAAAATAATGAAATTACTAAAAAAAAATAATAAATGAATTTAAGTTCGATTATCTTTTGNACAAATTAAATCAAAAATAAGGAATACAAATTAATAAAAGATAATAAAAATAATAATAACGAGCAGACCCAGCCACACATTGCAGTGGCTCAAAATGTATCTATTATAAATGTATAACACTTCTCCCGCAGGGTGGGGGAATCTCGTAAAATCCCTTCTTAGTGTACATTCTCGTGATCTATTAAAACGGTATAAAATAAATCTAGCTCCATTCTTGAATAATACAAAGTCTGTTAAAAAATTAACCAAACTCTTTAAATTGGGCATAAACGGAGGGTCTTAGTGTCGTGAAGTTGACATAAATATATAGAGCTGCTGGCTCTGGAAACTTTCTTTGGTTCTATGATGGAGCTAAAAGGTAAGGAAAGCAATGAAATTGTTTAGCTAGATGTGCAGGATAATGCTCACACAACGAGAAACAATGCCACACAGAGCAGGAAAACATGTGGGTCGCCCTTTGTTTTTGCAAAATTAGCAGTGAGGTCACGTGGGCAGGCTGATGAAATCTGAAACAAATTTTTTGCAGGAAAAAAATCAACAAAAACTGAAACAGACTATAACCGAAGTCAATGAAAACCGAGATATTA